TTATCTAGATTGTGAGAATATTTGAATTATTATCACAAGTAACCATTCACTTCTGAGTGTGTTGGCACATGCTTTTGTTGATTTTTGAAATTATATTTCTCTCTCTCCCTGGGTGTGTGCACGAGCACAAAATGTACTGCAATATATGAGGACACTTGTAGGAGTTGGTTCTCTCCTTCCACCATGTGAAGCCCAGTGATCAAAATCAGCTCATCACACTTGGTGGCAAGCATTATATTGACAGCCTAGCATAGACTTTTAGTGCCAGTATTTTTGAGGATGAAGTAGGAAGGATGCCTCAAATTCAAGGCCAGCTTGGCCTATAGTGTGAATTCCATACCAAGCTGGGCTACAAGAGTGAGATTTGTCTACAAACAAAAAAGATCCTTCTTTTTCCTTCTTTCTCTTACATTCTAGCCCACTCAGAATCAAACCCCTGACTTGGTTTCTTGTTAGATTCTTCTTTATGTAGGGTACTGCCCAAATTTACAAGTCCTGCTCATCCCTAAATAGATGTCCAACCCATTTCTCTTCCTCATTCCTGCTATCTCTTGTCCTTATTGAAGGCCTTGTCTCCTGTCACCTGCCAGCTACATGTTTGCAGCAGACTCATAGGGCTCTCCCTGCTTTGCCTTGATCCATTTCAGCCCATCCACTTTCTGAAGGCTAACAAGATGATAGAGCAAATAGGCATGTGATATCCTCATTGCTTGAAGATCTCCCATCACTTACGGCAGATGCTCTCACACCTCTGGTCAGGGTTAGGGCTTAGGGGCCCACTAAATCTTTCTTTTTCTGACTTTCTAGCCCCCATTTCCCTACATTTGGGTTATGTAGAACTAACTGCTTGACTAGAGACTCACCCCCACCCCAAGTTCCCCAAGAAATTTTGATGTCTGACCTGATTAAGAAACTTGCAGCTTTCCAGGATCAAGTCTGAGCCTCTCTGCCAGGTGCAGGAGGCCCTTTGTGATCTGACTTCAGTTTAGCAGTTGGCTGTATTCCCTACCATGCCTTGTGGCACACTTTCTGCTCAGTCCTTTCATTCCATTTCTTGTCTCTGTACCTGTGTACAGTTTGTCCTTCACCAAAATGGGAAGTAACTTCTCTTTTCCTTTAAGTCTGAGTGAGATACCCTTTTTGTATACATAGAATCAGTCAGTGTACAATAAAGCACTGCCATTCTGGATATTAATCCTTTTTCGTGTTCTGTATGAGCTTACTTTTAAAGATTGCATTCGACAGCTTAGCGTCTCTGTTCTTGTAATGTGACTAAGTAGACATCTGCCTTTTCTCCATAAGAGACCTTTATGTTCAGTTACTCTAAATTTTGCATGAAAAAGTAAAATAGTTGATCAACAAATTAGATATTTATAAACATTTTGGTGTTTTTTTTTTTTTTTTTGGTTTTTCGAGACAGGGTTTCTCTGTGGCTTTGGAGCCTGTCCTGGAACTAGCTCTGTAGACCAGGCTGGACTCGAACTCCCAGAGATCGGTCTGCCTCTGCCTCCCGAGTGCTGGGATTAAAGTCGTGTGCCACCATCGCCCGGCCCATTTTGGTGGTTTTTGAGGCAGGGTCTCACTATGTTGCCTTGGCTGTGCCGGAACTCATTCTGTAAATGAGACTGGCTTGGAACTCAGATTGCCTGCCTCTGTCTCCAGAATACTGAGACTCAAAGGTGTGTGCCACCATCGCTGGGCTGGCCTTGAATTTGCAGCAGTCCTCTTGCCTTTTATTTCTTTTTTTTTTTTTTTTTTTTTTTTTGGTTTTTCGAGACAGGGTTTCTCTGTGGCTTTGGAGCCTGTCCTGGAACTAGATCTGTAGACCAGGCTGGTCTCGAACTCACAGAGATCCGCCTGCCTCTGCCTCCCGAGTGCTGGGATTAAAGGCGTGCGCCACCATCGCCCGGCTTGCCTTTTATTTCTGAATGCTGCGATTACAGTGGCACTGTATCAGTCTCCCAACAAGTATTTTTTTAAGTGACATGTTTGGTTTTAAAGCTGGGTGTATGTTAAAATATCATTCACTATTTAATAATAATATACTGAGTGTCAGAAATAGACTAAAATGGCTGTGAATGTGTACTTCAGTACTAGGCCACTTATATATCATTCACAAAGCCCTGGGATTGATCCTCAGCACTATCAAAACAATCACTAAAATGTTTGCTTCCAGTGTTCTATGCATGGTTTAGGATTTGAATGATTAAATTTTATAATTATTATTTTTGTAAATGACAGATTAGAAGAGTTTGCAGAAGCTGTTTGCCAGCAGATCTGTGCAATGACGTATTTAGAATTTGAATGATTAGGGCTGGAGAGAGAGTTCAGCAGTTAAGAGCACTGGCTGCTCTTCCAGAAAACTCAGCTTCAATTCCTAGCACCCACATGGCAGCTCACAGCTGTCTGTAACTCCAGTTCCAGGGGACTTGACAGACACGTGCAGGCAAACTCAATGCACACAAATTAATAAATAAATAGATCTTTTTAAAGATTAAAAAATAGTTTAGATTCTCGTAAGTCAGAAGTCAGGTAGACAAACTGTCAGTATAGTCTTGCCTTTTTTGAACTTTTTTTGGTGTGTATGTGTTTGGGTAGGCACACACTGTGGCACACAGAAATAAGATTTACATATTCATGACTCTTTAGGGAGTTAGTACTAGGTGCTGGTGGTTCTGACCTCTGTAACATTTTAAATTCCGGATCATCTCTTTCGTAGTTTGCAACTAATATTAAACCAAGACAAAACTCAGATTGTGATGTCAAAAAGTCCTGTCATGCTCTCCCTCCATTAGGTTCAAAACTGCATTTACCTAGGCAAAATTCTTATAAAGAACATAAAGATGGGCCAGTATTTCAAAGCCAATAGTAAAAAGCAAGAATTGGGCCAACAAGATGGTTACGCATGTAAAGGTACTTGCCACCAAGTCAGAAGATCTGAGTGTGATCCCTAAAAAGTCATGAATATGTAAATCTTATTTCTGGTGGCCTCTTTAAATGTTACACTATACTCAAGTTTTTCATGTAATGTAGTTGCTTTTGCCAATATTGATCTCCTCCTCAGGAGACTAAAAGTTAACAAACTTGGACTGGGACTTGTGTGGCTTGAGATTTAAATTCCATGTAATTTCAAATAGTCAATGTTTCTAGACTTCCATTTGTTCTCTTATAAATTGTCAACAGTACTGTACTCTTCTTCACAGAGTTGCAATATGTATTAAATAGTACTTAGTCAATAAATTGTAATCACATTTATTGTTACTGCATTTAAAATAATCATCTCCTCTCTCACTGGAGTAGTCTTTGTCACACTGGTATCTTCTAATATTTAACGTAAGTCTTTTTTTAACTGTTAGTAAGTCAAATATGTTTCAGAAATTTCCTCAAGTATAATTTTATCACTTATTAAAGACAAAATCAAATTTGCACACTGAGATGGATGTTTATTTTTACATAAATAATTAAACCGGCAAATATTTGATACTAGATGAGTATCTTCAGGATTTTTGTTTGCAGTATTAGGGATTGAGCCTAACATGAAGTCTTAAAATATACAATTTAAACTCACTGTTTGATGAAGTAGTTAAAACATAAATGTCTAGCCAGAAGGTAAACAAATACATGTGGGAGGACACTTGCTTCCTGGGAGCATTGGGGCTTCTAGAACTTATTAAGGCCTTGGACCTGTTTCCTTCTGCTTGTGGCAAGCTGGCCCAAATAGAACTAGTTGGACTTAGAACAAAAAGAACATTTTTGTGTTTCTTTGAAAGACTTACATTAATGAATCTAACTTTTCTGATAGAATGTTCTAGGTACTGAGTTCTCATTAACCTTTACCGCACTTTCTGTGTTGCCGGAGATGCCCCTAAGTAATGTGTGCTATAAGGTTATTTATGTAGCAATTATATTTTTGGTCTTTAGTCAAATAATTTTTCTTGTGTTTTATTTTCCAAATAATATATAACACTGATTACTTTGGTGATTTCTGTAAAGCTTTTTAAAATTGTAGTGTTTGGCTGGGTAGTGGTGGTCCACGCCTTGATGATCCCAACACTTGAGAGGCAGAGGTAGATAAGTTTAAGACCAGCAAGGGCTATGACACAGAAAAACCCTGTCTAAAAAAACCAAAACAAAACTGTGGTGTTTGCTCTGTAACATTTTCCTGATTTTTGCCCTTTTTCATTTCTCTCTTCCATTTTCCATATGGCCCCTCTTTTTTTCTTTAAAACAGGACAAATGCACATTTCATTTTGTTTGAATTTATATATTGTATTTACTTTCCACCAAGGACCTTGACTTAAAGTCACAAGTTAAAGTTATATATGTGTTACTTACATAGAAGATAAATGTTGTAAGTTGTTTTTTTTTATTTTTTTTACTTCTTTGGGCAAGGTTTCCCATGTAGACTAAGTTGCCTGTCTTTGACTCCTGAGGGCTGGTATTAAAGGCATGTGCCATCGAGCCAGCATTTGTAAGTTTTAAGCAGATTGAATTTGAATTTGCATTCCCCATCTCATGGAGATATACTTCTCTAGCAGTCATGTTATTTTTTTTAAGCATATCATTCTGATGAAAATAGATCACATCAAATGTGTTCAAGAATAGTAACCATGAAAATAGTGCTTAAAAAATATTTGTATGAGGACCATGCTTTTTCATTTTACTACTAAAACATTATTTAAAGGTTCTTGTCTTAAATACTCAAAGGCTATTTTAAATACAGGATTGCTTTTATCTGTGGTTTAGCAAAGGCTAAATATATCCTTATTTAAATACATGTTATCAGGCATTTTTTCTATAGTACTGGTTTTAATATCTGATCCCAGTTTAAAAGTCTCTAGAAGTGTATTTATTAACCTTCTACTTGTCTGGGTTAAAAGCACCCAATTTTATGTGAATCAGGTTAAAGAGAATGTTTGTTAACAGGACTCTCAAAAACAGTAACTTTCTTTTTGAGCATTTTCTATTATTATTTGAGATGTATTTTTCTCCTTGTTTAGTGGATGATGCTGGCAAAATAGAACATGATGGTTCATCTGGATTGACCATGGACACGGAAACTGAAATCGACCCTTGTAAAGTGGATGGCACTTGCCCTGAAGTCATCAAGGTGTACATTTTTAAAGCTGACCCTGGAGAAGATGACTTAGGTGAGAGGGAAGCCTTAGCATCTTTTTGTTGTTGTTTCTGAGACAAGGTTTCTCTGTGTAACAGCCCTGGCTGTCCTGGAACTCAGTTTGTGTTTGTAGACCAGGCTGGCCTTGAACTTGAGATCCACCTTCCAAGTGCTGGGATTAAAGACATGTGTGTCACCACTGCTAATCTTAGACATCCTGATCAGTCTAACTGTTTTTGGCTTATTTAGATGTGAAGTTTTTATGAAGATAAAATAATTTTAACAGCGTCAGAAAAAGATGTTTAAAAAAGAAGTGGAAATGAAATTTTAAAATAAATTATTGGAGCTTCTGTTTGTTTTCCTTGATAGGTGGAACTGTAGACATTGTGGAAAGTGAGCCTGAGAATGATCATGGAGTTGAACTACTTGATCCAAACAACAGTATTCAGGTTCCCAGGGAAAAGATGGTTTATATGACTGTTAATGACTCTCAGCAAGAAGAGGAAGATTTAAGTAAGTAGGTGGCCTTTCTGTGGGAGAAAATGTGTTTCTGAGTGTTTTCCCTGTCTCTTTTAAATGGTCAGTATTTGCAGGAAATAAGTAGCATTGTTTTAGAAATTATTTTGTTGGCATGTTCTGAGGGAATTGTTACTGACCCATTTTATTTATTTGTGTGTGTGTGTGTGTGTGTGTGTGTGTGTAAAGTGTTGTTAACTTAAAACTAAACTGGTGAAAACCAAGAACTGAGTAAGTATTTGTTGAGTGTTTATTATACAAAAGCTGTGTTCTAGGTATGTAATGTTTGAACTTCTTTCTGCTTGCATATTAGCTGAGTTCAACTAAAAGTATCTTTCCTTTGATCTCTCTAAGCCTGATCAGAAAAGTTCATGTATTTTCTACTTAGATGTTGCCGAAATTGCCGACGAAGTTTACATGGAAGTGATTGTTGGGGAGGAAGATGCTGCAGCCGCAGCTGCAGCCGCAGTGCATGAACAACAAATAGATGACAATGAAATGAAAACCTTCATGCCAATTGCATGGGCAGCTGCTTATGGTAAGTCACAGAGCAGTTCTTTAGACATGAATTTGCTTTTTTTTTTTAGACATGAATTTGCAATTGAAAAACAGTTTTTGTAGCTAGGTGATGTCCGCGCATTCCTTTATCCTAGTACTTGGAAGGCAGAGGCAAGCGGATCTCTTGAGTTTAAAGCTGGGCTGGTCTACAAAGTGAGTTCCAGGACAGCTAGAGCTGTTATACAGAGAAACCCTGTCTGGAAAAACAGTAACAACAACAAAAAACAAAACAGTTTTTGTGGTTTTAGGTTTTCAGAAATCTGAAATGCTAGTACTATATAAGGATTATTTGATTTAAATGAGAATAGAGGAAGATTATAAAGTCTACCCCCCCCGGCTCAAATTTATTTATTTATTTTCCGTTTATTTATTTATTAAAGATTTCTGTCTCTTCCCCACCACCTCCTCCCTTTCCCTCCCCCTCCCCCAATCAAGTTAAACCAAGACCAAGTGAACGATCTAAATAGACCTCTTAGTCACGAAGAACTACAAACTGTTATCAAAAATCTCCCTTCCAAAGAAACTAGACCGTAAAAATCGAAAGTCTACTTTTTGTCCTGACTTTTAACAGGCATTTCCTTTATGTATATATTACGTAGAAGGAAATAAACTGTGAAGTATACAGGTTTCAGGCTGGAACCTTTCATCTTAACTGTATCAGGCCCATAACTTTAAAATTTTGGGAAACAGCATGGGAACCCATGGGGAAAATACTGACATATATTTGAGTTTTACCGTAATGAATGTGCTCATAAAAACTCCATTACCTAGAGTGGGATATTTCTGTCATTCATGAGTATCATGGCTTTTCATTGTTGTGATTAATAAAGAATTCCTAATTCTTTATAATTTATAATACTGTATGATTTTGTTTTTTTAATACACATTGTTAGGTAATAATTCTGATGGAATTGAAAACCGGAATGGCACTGCAAGTGCCCTCTTGCACATAGATGAGTCTGCTGGCCTCGGCAGACTGGCTAAACAAAAACCAAAGAAAAGGAGAAGACCTGATTCCAGGCAGTACCAAACAGGTGAGGGCGTGCGAGTTCCACGGTGCAGCGTGCTCTGCAAGCTCTCAGGAAATGCTAGTGTGCATCCACAGGGGTATCGTGATGGCATATTAGTGGCTAGACTATATGTAGCTTTTTTATATTGAATTTTAAAATATAATTTTCAGAATTGAGTGATATTCATGAATGATTTTTCTTGATTAAAATGGAATGGGAATTGGATCAAAGAAGGATGAAAAAAGTTAAAGCTTGAATTGCATGAAAATGAAAGGCAACCATGTTGGCAAGTGTTAATTTTGGAAAAAAGATAGTTAAACAATGATTATTTCAGCATAAAATGGGCATAATTTTTAGAGCAGCAGGATATATGCTTGAGTTTATATATTGTAACTTATTTCTTACACCTATTTGCATATTAAGAATCTTACTGATATATTTAGACTCCATTGTAAGTTAATATAAGTTAATGTTTTTTTAATAAAGCAGAAATTATAATTTAAAAACCTTATGAATATGGGTTTCTAAATTTTTAAGGGTTCATCACTTGCCAATAGAAATTACAAATTTATTCATTTTGTTAAAATGGAACAGGTTAGTGTAGACGAAGTTCTTAGGGCCAGGTTACTGTATCTTGTAGATTGAAAATGACAAGTCAGTGTGTAGTTTGTTACCCGAATTAGGAACCCCTGACTATGCATTCAGACTTTTGAAGAAACCCAAATTGGCATGTTTTGATCACTTATGCTCCTTTCCTTTCATAGCAATAATTATTGGCCCAGATGGACATCCCCTGACTGTCTACCCTTGCATGATTTGTGGGAAGAAGTTTAAATCGAGAGGTTTCTTGAAAAGGCACATGAAAAACCATCCTGAACACCTTGCCAAGAAGAAGTACCGCTGTACTGACTGTGATTACACTACCAACAAGAAGATAAGTTTACACAATCACCTGGAGAGCCACAAGCTAACCAGCAAGGCAGAGAAGGCCATAGAATGTGATGAGTGTGGAAAGCACTTCTCTCATGCTGGGGCTTTGTTTACTCATAAAATGGTGCATAAGGAAAAAGGAGCCAACAAAATGCACAAGTGTAAATTCTGTGAATACGAAACAGCTGAACAAGGCTTATTGAATCGCCACCTTTTGGCAGTCCACAGCAAGAACTTTCCTCACATTTGTGTAGAGTGTGGCAAAGGTTTCCGTCACCCATCAGAGCTCAAAAAGCACATGCGAATCCATACTGGGGAGAAGCCCTATGAATGCCAGTACTGCGAATACAGGTCTGCAGACTCTTCTAACTTGAAAACACATGTAAAAACTAAGCATAGTAAAGAGATGCCGTTCAAGTGTGACATTTGTCTTCTGACTTTCTCAGATACCAAAGAGATGCAACAACATGCTCTTATCCATCAGGAGAGCAAAACACACCAGTGTTTGCATTGCGACCATAAGAGTTCCAACTCAAGTGATTTGAAGCGACACATAATTTCAGTTCACACAAAGGACTATCCTCATAAGTGTGATATGTGTGATAAAGGCTTTCACAGGCCTTCAGAACTCAAGAAACATGTGGCTGCCCACAAGGGTAAAAAGATGCACCAGTGTAGACATTGTGACTTTAAGATTGCAGATCCGTTTGTGCTAAGTCGCCATATTCTCTCGGTTCATACAAAGGACCTTCCGTTTAGGTGTAAGAGGTGTAGAAAGGGATTTCGGCAACAGAGTGAGCTTAAAAAGCATATGAAGACACACAGTGGCCGGAAGGTGTACCAATGTGAGTACTGTGAATATAGCACTAGAGATGCCTCAGGCTTTAAGCGGCACGTTATCTCCATCCATACGAAAGACTACCCTCACCGCTGTGAGTACTGCAAGAAAGGATTCCGGAGACCCTCGGAAAAGAACCAGCACATAATGCGCCATCATAAAGAAGTTGGCCTGCCCTAACAGTAGTCTTCACCGATGTTTGCAGAGAAACTGGCCTTGAAACAGAAAATTCATTTAAAAGCCAATCAGTCTTGTTCACATACAATACTGTATCAAATTGATTTATGCTGTGTACAAATAGAAATATTGCTTCTAGTTGACTTTTTGTTTTTACATTTCGTTCAATAGTGTGTTCTGAATTCTATTCAGTTTGTTTAATACATGGGGAAACGCAGCAACAAATTAGTTGCTTTTACTAAAGTAATCCCTGGTTCTATACTGAAGTTTTCTATCTTAGAAGTTTTATATTTATTTTAAAATATTTACCTTGCTTACCTTGATGGTACTCTTCTAAGACCATTTAACTCACGGTAACTTCTCATTGGTAACTGAAGGTCTTCATGTTGACTCAATTTTTTTCTCACAAATTTCTCACAATAAAATTGTCAGAGATATCTAATAGGAATGGGAGATTTTTACAGTGAGGTCTCATGATCATAACATGGAAGTCATTTCCTTGTCTTGCTTAGTATTTGCAGGCTATATGACAGTGAAAGTTTCCATATGAACTTTCGTGTCCCTGGCATTGATGAGTAAAAGAACAGTGGCTGGGTTTGTGTTTACTTTTCTTTTTTATTTCTTTTTAGTGGACAAAATATACTTCTTTTTTCTTTAGCCTATCTTTTGTCAGTGTAGTAAACTTTTAGAAAACCTTGTTGGAAATTTTTGCTTGATCCTGTTGTATTTTGATTATTCTGTCTGTGCTGCTTTGTCTTGGAATGGTTGTGTGCTACAAATGAAATTTAACTGAGGACTGCATTTTGGAATCTCCTAGGGGTAACTTGTGGCTCATAGGATCTTTTGCAACTTTATATATGTAAATGTACCCTGAATTATATATATCTATCTATATATACACATATATATGTAACATGTATCTGTGTGTATTGCTTATTTTACATACTTATACACACAACCCCCAGTAGTAGTTGCTTAAAATCTATAATGAAAAGTATTAAATTTACAGTAACGTGAAAGATCCAGGGATGCAAGAGAGAGCATTTTGTAAGTCTTGCTCTTCAGAGAGACTACTCAGGTGAAGAATTAGAAGGAAAATAAGGACACTAGTATTTTTAAAGAGTAAAGGTATTTTCTTTTAAATATCTTTGGTAATTGAAAAATAATTGAAAAAATAGAGGTTAAGATGTTTATAGATACAATGTTTTCATACAGTTTCAACTCCATGCCTTTATATTTTTCTGAAAAGCTAATGGGTATCCAGACAGGAATCCCTCAGTTCTCTCTGAAAAACCGGAGAGAGAACTCTTGTCTGACCAAGTGAGAGGGACAGAAAGGGAGTGATGGCTCCATGGACCAGAGAACGGGTGCTAATAAGGACTTAGACTTGGCAAGTTGAGCCTGCTCTGTTAGTTCTTAGTTAACCTGAAAAACATTAACACTCGGTTGTCTTGGATTACACAATAGAGGTGTGGTCCAAGTGTGTGAACAGTCTGAGGCCTCATGTGGATCCTCACCAAGTCTTTGACAGTTTTGTTTTTGAGAGCTGGCAGTTCGTAACATACAGGACTGATCGCTGATAAAATTTGTAAAAAGTTGGTTACTGAGATTTTGTTAAGATGTCTTTTGGAAAACAGTTTCTAGAGTCCCTGGAATTGGCTGTTGGCACACGGGTCTGGCACATCATGGGGAGACTTAGAAGTTTTCTTCCCACTTGATAGCTGCCTTGCCGCCTCGTTATGGTGCTCCATCCCTTTTGTGCCATTAGGTTTTTACCTTTCATCTTTCTCTTAGTCATCAATATTTGTATTCAAAAGTTTATATTTTTGGGGTTAGATGTCTTGAATATTTGGTGTTTGGCAAACCTCTGAAGTGCTAGATTGATTTAGTCTAGTTCTAAATCAAATTCTTAAGGCTGGTATGAACTCCATCCTCAATGCCAGTCAAAGCCAAGGCGTAGATTCCCTAGCCTTTCCATCCAATAGGGAATTCTTTCGCCTTTGTAGCCTCTGCAACGTGCTTTAAAAATGCATCACAACTATGATTTGATTTATGCCCTGTTATTCTTGAAAGCTCTGTCTTTTTTTGTGAGAACTTAAAAAGTCTACTTTTATTTTCCCCAGAAGTAATTTAAACACCTAACATTAAAATTTATGAAATTTAAAAATCATCTACAATCAGTACAGAAAATATAAATGATTGGATCATTTAACATATTTTTTTAATAAACTGAAAGATAAGGAACACAACACTTTACACACTTTATATTTCTCTTTACATGATCTGGAACCATACACAGTTCTTTTCTTTTTTTAAAGCACAATATTGAAGCCTTTAAAAGGTATTTAAGGGTTTGGTCAAGTGAATATAAAATGTGTTTGTCTGTATAAAGAGAAAATGAAGTAGTTACTGTTATGTACTGACATTAGTTACAACCTAGTTTTAATTCTTAAAACAATTTTCATTAGCAAAGCTAAAAAGGATGTTTCAGTTAAATGTTTTAAAGAGGTACAGATTTTTACAAGGACATAATATAAGTTATTGTTCTGTAGAAATATCCTATTAAATATTGTATGTCCCTCCCTCTGTATACTTTGTAAAAAAAGTAAAATACATAAAAAGAAAATCATATAGGGGATGTGTGACATTATTGTAATTGTGTACTTGAGAATAACGTGCAAAAATAAAAATCAGAATATTTTCCTGTTAACGAATGTTCAGTCTATTTGATACCAGTACTAAGTTAATGCTTTTTCTTAAGAAAGAAAATGTACAGTTTTTGTAAACCTAATAAACATCAAAAGCAGTGGATTATTTTCATCCCCCTATTTCTTAATTCCTTTTATGCAGCAGTGGAATGCAAAATGCTTGATTGCTTTGAATTTTGTGACTTGGATGCAAATACTGATATTTCAGTCCTGTGAATTTGCAAGTAACATTACAGAGAAGTTAAGAGGTGATTGGTGAGTCCTTTGATGAGCATGTCCTTGAAATTCATTTTTCTTTTATCTTTGTAAATGATTTGTTTTATTAGCATCCTGTTAGAAATTACCTGCGCATAAAGTGGGTTTTGAAAGCACTTAAAATTTGTTTTATTATCAATTCGCAACATATTTAGTCTGAGGGAGACTGTCACTATTCAGAAGCCCTACCTTTGAGTTGCCCATTTGTGCCTAGGTTGGAGGCCTCTAGTAGAACCCAACATGCTGGAGGATGGTCACTGTAGTAGTAAAAATTGCAAGTTGGGTAAAAGTTGTCAGGATTCATGAGAAAGATTAGCAGCACTTTGGAGTTTTTTCAATGAGATTCTGTGATGTAGAACCAGCGTTGGCCTAAGAAGAGATAACAGATAACCAAAACTTAAGATAAATGTCCAAGAGAATGGTGGACAACACAGTCAGAGTCTTAAGTTTGACCAAACCAGGACTTGCTGGAAAATGTGATCCCGCTCATTCTGCTGAAATATGCAGCCCTATGGTTGCCTGGGATCTCGCTATTAATTTCCTGCAAAATCTCAGATTTGTGTAAGGTAAAGCAGGATCAGTGAGCATCTTAAGGAGGAATGATGTCAGAGTAAAGCCTGGCAGCATGGTAATCTCCTGGGGTGTGGTTAAAGCCGCAGGTTCTCTGCCCTATGCCAGTCCCCAGTGAACTGGGACAAGGCACAAGCCCCAGTAGCCTGTGTTTTAGGAAGCTGTCCCAGTGATTCTGTTGCATGCTCAAGTTTAGTGAAAGTGAGCTTAGAGCACTTGAGGAACCTAAAAATTGCTTAGTGTGACGTTTTTGTCTAGTAGGAAGTTCACAGAAAAGCAGCTAGAGATGGCGCAGTGAGAGTAAATTAGGCCTCAGAGACTTTACTTCTGTAAAAGTCTGAGCCAGTCACTAAGTATATCCTTCAGTGCACATCTGAATAGCTTGCACCTCCTACTTTTACATAACCCCCAATGTTGCATTCCTCAAAGGTAGGAAGATTTGATAAGTAAAGAGGACTGAAAATTGTGCGTTCGCGTGTGTGTGTCTAATTGGCCCAGAGTTACTAAAGTAATTCATATTAAAAAGGACATTTTGCTGCATTTTACAGCTTTTTAGGAGGTCAAAATTAAGTTTGCCCTATGAATTTTGTTTTATCTTTTGTTTCATGTATATATTGTTTGCCTTTTTCATAAAATAATTCTTGGATTTGTTATATATTGTTCCTGTTATTTTTGACATCTTTGCTATTGTAAATAAATTCCTATTTTGTTTTAAGTTACCCTAGTGGAGTTTTGGCTATAGACAAGGCATACATGGACACTTGTGCGTACATCACACATAGACACAGAGACGTGAATTGAATCACACGAGAATGCCCATCTTGTTCCAAGCCCCTTTACTTTAGTCCTTTTCACCACCAAGGGAACCACTGTTGCTTTAAAGCACAGCTCCTGCAACGACTTGGATTTTATTTGGCTGGACAGGCTGGCCAGCAAAGCCCAGGGGTGCTCCTGACTGCTTCCCCCTTGCTGAGAGTACAGGCGTGTGCCATCATGTGACTTTACCCTGGCTTTGGAGATTGAGTTCCTGTCCTCACGAAAGCACAGCAAGCACTTTACTGGCAACCATCTCCCCAGCCCTACTTGGGTTTTAACATTGTTTTCTGACCTCTCAGGGAAATATTTGATCCACTTGAGGGTACAAATCAAGAATTATTTTCTTTTGCTTGGCTTTCCCTAACCAGCTCCCTCTCATTTTACCTGTCTTGCTGGTGGTATTGGAAAACAAAGAGTTTGGCACTAGTGACCTGCTGATACTATAAGATCACTAAGATACCTTACTACCGAGGGGCCCTTTGTGTGAGTCTTAGGTGGCATACAGCTATGGGGACTGCCACAGAAGTGTCTGAATAGAGCAGTGAACTAGACTTGTGTAAATTATTTTGCTTTCTAGGAGGAGTCAGTTTGATTGCTTCATGCTTCTGTTTGACTTAATGCGGAGTCCATTTAACAGGGATACATTTTGGGGTTTGAGGGGTTCTGTTGTTTCTGCCCTCATCTCTTGAGTTTTAAACTTGTTGGGACTATGCACAAGAG